TTCCGTAATGTGGATGGCTGCCCATCTTGCACGGGTGTGTGACTTTTCTAAGGAATGACCCTCAATCTTTATGTATGCATAGAAACTATACTGTTTTCTCTCTGACAACAACTCAAGATTAATGTCTAATGTTGCCTTGAAGTTTATGTGACCCAAAATTATACATTTTGTTAAACAAAACAAAGATAGTGAGGATCTTATATCCCACATGGGAAGTAGAACGTTTTTTAGATGGGCGATGGATGCATATAATGATAAGGAAGTGCAATGGATTACATACTTACCTGGACGGGGTCAATGGGTGATCAAGAAGGCCCATGGCCTAGGTTGGCGACCTCCATTGCACTTTGGAGGGGCGCCCGCCTAAGGTCGGCCCAAGTGGTCGAGCCTACGTCATAATTTGTGGTCGTGGGGGCCTGCGTTCGCGCGGCCCCTGCCTAATTCCTATTTTAATTTCGGCTCTGATTGATCCTACGTCATCATTGGTGCTTCCACATGCGTCTCGCCCCAGCCTTCAAGTAACCGGCTGGTCAATCCAGAGTTTGTTATAATGTGTCAGCCATTTTAAAGTTTGACATAAATGAACCCTACAACAATTATCTTCTGCAGTACTCAATATACATACGAGTCCTGAAAAGCTTTGTGTCACGATGCATCAGTTCGATATTGATCTATTTTTTTCTTTATTTCTACAAAATGTGCTTTGGGGAAGGAGAAGCATTAAGGCAAGAGAGTGTTCAAATAGTTGGATGGATGTCCAGCATTGGCAAATGAATATAATTTCAACAGATAGTTCCTACTATAAATGGCCAGAACATTACTATGGATATTCATTCAGCTTCATGGCGAGCATTGAGTGAACTATTCTTTTGTCTTTTACTAAAGAGCACCGTTTGCTCTCCACACTTGAAGCATTTTTGGAGGGAAAACATTTCCGCCACACTTAGCAGCATACGCCCATTTTTGGAGGGAACACATTTCCTTTTGCAACCATTCAGTCCTTATAATATTTTTATCCATGTGTTTTAAAATATTTTTTTTCAACAGGTGTTTCATAAGCATTGGATAAGCATCTCTGTGTTTGTAGCATATTGCTTTGGGAGTGAACACATGTTAGGAGTCCAGCACTCACGGCCCATCGCATATGATCGTAAAATAGCTTTAAGAGTGCAGAGCACTCAAGACTGAGCGTACGTGCATAAGCCTAAAACAACTTTTGCTTTGCATCTCTAGAGAGTAGATTACATGGACACGTGTAAATAATAAACCCTTACCATCAATTGTTGTTCCTAATTTCTCTATATTGGCATCCTCATTTTGCCACAACTATCACCCAATACTAGTCTTCAGGTATAGTTTTTAAAATTGTTATGCATGTAGTGTTGTGTTTATGTCTGATTTCTTGTGTTTTAGCGAGCATTTTTTAGGAATCGTACAATCACTCTGCTTCAATACTAACAATTCCCAGTTTTAGCGAATAACGTGAAACAGACTGCAATTGTTTTTCTTAGTTGCTTTGTTTACAAGCCTAGTTGTCATTAGCCTTTCATTGTTGATGCCATTATCGTTTACTTGAATTCGACTATATTTGTGTGGTTACACTATTAGCAATTCTAAGGATTCGCATGATAATGATGTTGGATATGTATGTACGAACTTGTCTTTTAGAGAATGACAAAGAACAACACTAACGGAGAATGATAACAAACGTCTCCATCAAATCACGAACATTATACTTGAAAAAAAAAAACTCCAACCAAAATTCAAATAAATAATCAAAGTCGAAGCGCATGAAACACATTGTGTGTAAGATGAAATTGCCGCCAATTAATGCCCACGATTTCGATTAAGTTTTCAGGATACGATGACATTTGTCTTGTACGACACTCCAAATATATAAGGTTTCGACGGACTTAATTGTGTTTAGAACTCTAAGAAAATTAAGAAAGAATAAAGAACACAGAATAAATATTAACAATCTTACATCCTATGCCGATTTCATATTTTGAAATGTCGCTTCTAATGAATTTCAACTCACATGGTACATGGTACTTATAAATGTTCTTGAATATCTCGGCGGGTATATGTGTCAAAAGACACTTGTATTCATGAATTTCAACCGAGTTATGCATTCGGGTCGCGCCCGCGACAAGCCTTCGTGTCCAACTGATGAGCTGATCAACTTGTCGCACGCGCTTACGTGTCGGGAGCCCATACGCGCTCGTCCAGAATCATATGTTAAGCTACTTATATTTCATAAAATAAAATCATTACAAATCTGGAAGATGTTAAACTACTTATATTTCATAAATAACAGCAGCTGCCATTTTGATTATTGTTGTAATCTTATATATACCCTCTGAATAATAATCACACATTTCCCACATCGGAAAGGAATACATCTCAGAATGGAAAATGTCCAGTATAAATAGCCACAAATATATTTTGGTTTAGGCACGCAGCTGCGTGGTAAGCACAAAGCGAACTATTCTTTCGCCTTTTACTAAAGAATACCGTGTGCTTGCCACATTTCAAGCAGCATACGACCATTTTTGGAGGGAACCCGCTTCAAGGGCCCCCAACAATTTAGTTTAATTTTTTTAATTAATGTGTCATAGTTTTTTAATGGTGGATAGGAGCTTCAAGAAGGCTTATCCAACATCAAGATGATCAAAGTGTTGGAATCGTGTGTTTTTGTTTTGAGTTTTTCTTAGTTTTCATCTCTAACTTACTTCAACTTGTTTGGGACTAAAAAGATTTTGTTGTTGTTTCACAGTTTTTTCAAAAAAGCATTTCAATGGTTAACATTTTTGAATTCTTTCTCTTGCAGGAATAGTTGAAGATAGTCTAAATTGCGATCGAACACAGTCTTCAATCGTGCAATAAACAGTTTAGTTGAAGATAGTCTAAACAGTCTTCAATCGTGCAATAAACAGTTTAGTTGAAGATAGTCTAAATTATTTTAAAAAAGGTTCATAATTACAAGAAAACGCATTTTTTTTTTTTGGTTTTTAATTACAAGAAAACACAGTGCAAACACGTTTTTGGTTTGGCCAAGCAAACAGTCCTCCCAATTCGTCTTAGAGGCGAACTCACCCTCCAAATTTTTGCGCCGAGAAAGGCTCGCTGAGTTTCTCATGCACAGCTTTTGAAGTTGGCCTCACAGCTTCTATATTCCCCTTGTTACTTCTAGTCTAAATTGAAACACATAACCGCTATTATATTAGTCATTGCTGATTTTCCATTTTAAGTTTACAATCAATTTTATTTGGTTTTCTTTTCCGTGCCAACTGAATCCCAACCCTTCCAATTATTTACAATATTTACATCTTTCGATTCTTCTGTAGCTACATTTCTCATGATGGCTTTCTTTGCCTAGGGAATTTATTATTGCCCTGCATTTGTTATATAATGAGTGCCAACAAAGAAAAAGTGCAATGATCTTTTGTAGCAGATTTAAATATAAATATAATGTCATTCACCTACTACAAGTATGTATGTAGTTATCAATTGTATTCAATCAGTTATTACTATTCGTGTATAACTATAATAGTTAAAGTTATGTCTCATATTCAGTTATGCTCTCAAATTCATTCTACATCTATAGTTATTATCTAACACAAAAGATGTAATAAAAATTTTAGGCTGCCCACCTTCTACGACGTGCACGACCTTTCCACAAATCAAAAATTGAATGACCGTCAATAGATATATTCATAGAAACTGTGCAGTCTTTTCCCAGGCACAAACCCATAAAATGTATTTACTGGACATATAGAGCTAGTAATGATGCCTTGAAGCTGCTGTGGCTGAAAATTATACATTTGGCTCAAGAAAACGGGAAAGGTGAAGAGATATTCTGTCCCACATGGAAAGTAGAATGTTTTTCAGCTTGACACTGGATGTTTATAATGATAAGGAAGTGCATTGGATTATGTACTTACCTGGACGGGGTCAATGGGTGATCAAGAAAGCCTATGGCCTAGGTTGGCGACCTCTATTGCACTTTGGAGGGGCACCCGCCTAAGGTCGGCCCAAGTGGTCGAGCCTACGTCATAATTTGTGGTCGTGGGGGCCTGCGTTCGCGCGGCCCCTGCCCAATTCCCAGTTTAAATTGATCCTCATCTTACCCAATTTTATGATTTTTCTTAAAGTTCTGTTTGTTTAAACAGAGCTCACTGGTCGGGTATGAAAAATGAAATTGCCTGTGAATCTCCCTAGTTGCCCTAGAATCTATTTTCCATACTGAATTTATTTATTATATCTCCAGCATCGGTTTGATTTTGATCTATTTTTACCTTGTTTCCCGAGCTTTGGGAGAGGAGAAACATTTTGAGAATGATAAAAAAACTGTTCCACTTATTGGGCGTCCCACATTGATTTAGTAACAAAAATTCAACACAGTAGTATAAAATGACCAGAGAAACTAAAAACCAAAACTCATTATGGAAGAAAGGACCCCTAAAATTCAGTCTTTCTAGCATTTTTTTAACCATTTGTTCTAGATTGTTTTTTGAATCAGGATGTGTAGATTGCTTTTTCAATCGGGTGTTTCAATAGCATGGGATAAGAATCTTCGTTAAGTGAGTAGAATTACGGTTTGAACTTTTGGGCTGGAAGACATAGAGATGGGAGAACTCGTGATCAATCTTATTAAGGAATGATGAACACTCAGTCGATTGCTGCAAACTTAACGTCTATCGTGTTTCTCATTCAAAGTTATTAGCGCCCGTCAACAGCAAATCTTCAGGCGAAAACTGAAAAGTACAACATTCGGCAAGTCCAGAATTTACTCAGATGAGTGAAAGAGACAACATAACTAGAAAATGGAAGCTTTATTTCCCAAGAATGGAAACATGTAGCAAAGGCATTTACTTGCTCGCATTGTCATACAAATAATGAGCATAAGTAATCGTCATGCTAACGCAAAAAAATTCAAGAAAAATATAGAAATAATAAAAAAAATCCTGACCAATCTTAATGATTGTATAGAATAATAATTAGGCTTCCCAACCCCTCAATAGAGAAGCACGAGCAACACGGTTAACGCCTAGCGTGAAGGCGCCCATCCTGAGATCACAATTGTGTGATTGACACATGTGCTTGATATTGTGGAAGGCTTTATTCATGTATCTTTTTAGCTCTTGATTCACTTTATCCTCGTCCCACATGAAGCCTTGAATGTTCTGTACGGTCAAAATTAGAAGCGACATAAAAAAAAATATCAATGCAGCTCGATAAATTCGGTAAAAAAAGGTGGAAGAATGCAGGTAAAAAGAATATAATGTTAATAATCATTTAGTGCATGCTTGGATACAATTTTTCTAAAAAATCCAATCATTTTTAACCAGTCACTTTTTTTTTTTTAACTCAAAAATCTAAATCAACATTAACTCAACCTAAATATCCTCAATATTATCAATATTATAGTATAATTAAATAATATCTTTCAATTATTTTTCCACATTACATCACCTTTAATTTACTATTCATTCATTCACATAATTACATTTCACATCACATTTCTCCTACTTTTACATCAAATCAACTTTAATTATTTTATTTTAAATATTATTATAATTAAACTCAAAATTCCACTAATAGCTAACCATACATTTTTTTATTTTTCAAAATTAAACATATCAAACCAAAAATTTCAAACAAAATTAGAACATCTTATATCCAAGCATCCCCCTTAATGGTGTCGTACCTGAAAAAACTTGCTTGAATGATGGAACAAAATATTCGGCAGTAATTTAGACAGGCCGTGAATTACAATTTGCAGTTGTAATATATTGTTGATCATGTTAGAGAATGTTTACCTGGACCCACTCGAAATAACTAACCGTCACTCCTCCTGAATTTGCATATATATCGGGAAGTATTACAACACCCTTTTTCGACAAAATCTGCAGAAGTACACCACATTACGCTATGATAAAATGTGAAATATACGAATTGAAGGAAATTGAAGAGCGATAAATAAGAAACATAGTTCGGGACCTCATCAGCTTCAGGATCAGTCGGATGATTTGCAGCTTCAATGATGAACTTGGCCCTCACATCTCCAGCATTTTCTCTTCAAAACAAGAAAAGAACCAAATGCGTATTAGCCGGACCTCCCCAAGAAAAAAGAGTTTTATAGACAATCCTTTGAGAAGATACATCAGAATTCAAAACATAACATTTATCTTCATCTTATGCCCTATAAGCAAGAGGCAATTGACATATGTCTTGATGATAACATATACTCAAACAAAATTAAGTATATCCATGCTTTATTTAGTATTTAGTTAAAAAAGGAGACGTTCGTTGTGATAGACTTGAAGTCCATAGGAAAAGTGACTTCTGAAAAGAAAATGGCCAAATTAAAATTCTTAATCAGTTCAAGATTATCTTCAGGATAAAAAGCAGTACTCCAAGAACATAAATCTCTGTCCTCCATGCCCACTTTCAAAACAGATCAATTACCAAAATAACAAAAAAAAGACAACTGTAACACTTAAACAAAATAACTTGATGTATGCATACATGTATGTAGACTTCCCACTTAAATAGACACGAACATATACAGCTTCAAGATATATATATATATATATATACACACACACACACACATATATACATATATGAGTTGTATATATGAATTTCAGGAAAAAAAAAAAATCTGCAAAACCTGTTGAGAACTCCGCCCAGGGCACAAGGTATGAGAACATCACATTCATGAGCGAGCAAATCGTTCGAATCCATTGCATCAGCAGCATTGAAATCAGATAATTTTCCAGTTTTCTCTTTGTGCCGAATTAGTGCCGGTATATCAATTCCATTAGAATTTTTGACTGCTCCAGTTATGTCACTCACTGCTGTAACTTTTCCACCTAGTTCGTGTAACAGCCGTGCAGCCCATGATCCAACATTCCCAAACCCCTTAATGATATAACAAACATTCAATTTTGTCAAAGTTGTAATCTTTAGTAATTATCTAGAGAACAAAATCCAAAAGTAGGAGACAGGTCCGTAGCTCTCGGGTGAGAGTAATACCTGGATGGCAAATGTTAGATCCTTTATCGATTTCCCATGTTCGGCGAGTAAGGCTTCAGTAGCAAATACAACTCCACGCCCAGTTGCAGCTTCTCGCCCCAGAGATCCTCCCAAGTCCTAATGCATCAAACACAAGCACACAACTTAGAAAGAGTAAGAATGAGTTCAAATATTAATTTGCAATTTTTTTTTTCCTTTTTAGGTTTTACTTACAATTGGCTTTCCTGTAACAACTGCGGGTGAGTGACCGTGAAATTTTGAGTACTCATCAAGAATCCAAGCCATTGTCTGCACATCAAAAACTACTCTTTCAGCTATCTTTGCAGAGGATTGAGAGACAAAGGGTGTGTTTGTATACAAATATATTTGCTCAAAGCGAATTTTATTGATTTACCAAGTTTAATTTTGAAAAAATTGGTATGGTTGGTTGTTAGTGGAATTTTGAGTTTATATTAAAACAATATTTAAAATAAAATAATTTAAATTAATTTGATGTAAAAGTATGAGAGAGATGATGTGAAGTGACATTTAGTTAAAATTATGTGAGTGAATGAATAGTGAATGAAAGTGATATGCAAGAATGATTGGTTGGTATTATTTAATCATATTGATAATTTTGAGTATGAGTAGAAATAATTTATAAACAAACACACCCTAACTATTAAAGAAAGGGAGGTGAAATAATAATCACTTGAGCATTAGTTCCCATATCGGGTGCTGGCACATCAGTGTTGACCCCAATGAGATCGTGAATCTTCTGCGTGAAGACTCGGGTTAGGCGTTCCAACTCGCTCGTACTTAAATCTTTGGGCGTGCACCCAATCCCACCTTTTGCCCCACCATACGGAATATCAGCCACAGCAGTCTTCCAGGTCATCAGTTGAGCAAGAGCATTGACTTCATCAGGGTCAACCTTCAAGGAGAAATTCGAATCCTCAGCATAATAATAATGAATATAATATGAAAAGTATGACATTTTAGTATCACACTTACAGGAGCAAAGATAAGGTGTGGACGTGACGTGGTGAACAAAAACTATTTGTAGAAGTTTATACATGTTACATTAAGAGCATCAGTTATGTTACAATTACAAGAAGATCATCACTTTTTCCTTTTTCTTTGT